GGGGGGGGGCCCGGCGGCGCCCCGGGTGCACAGCGCCATCGTGGAGCGGCTGCGGGCCCGCATCGCCGTCTGCCGCCAGCACCACCTCAGCTGCGAGGGCCGCTACGAGCGGGGCCGCGCCGAGAGCTCCGACCGCGAGCGGGAGAGCACCTTGCAGCTCCTCCACCTGGTGCAGCAGGGGCAGGGAGCCCGCAAGGCCGCCAAGCACCCCAAGGCGACGGCGGCGGCCACCGCCGCCGGATCGGCCACCCCCTCCGCCGCCGCCGCCGCCGCGCCCCCGGACTACCACCAGCACCTCCTCAGCAACGGCGGCATCAACGGGGAGCAGCCGGCGGGGGAGCAGCGCGCCTCGGCCCTCCTGGCGGTGAGTCACAGCGCCCCCTGCCGGCGGGGAGGGGCCATCGGGAGGAGAAGCCCCCACCCTCGCTCCCCTCAGGGGCAGGCGCGAAGGTGGGGCCGGCGGCCGGGACCGGGTCCGCCCCCACCCGGGGGGTGTCCTGGCGGGTGTGTGCGGCGGGGCGGCTCGGTCTTGTGTCCACGCGACGTGGTCCCCGTCGGGTGCTGGGCCCCGCCGTGGCGTCGAGGGTGTGAGGATGCGCAGCGTCTGTCTGCCGGAGCTGGGGAGCTGAGGGGCTTGTCCTCCTCGAAGGGATTTTGGGGCTGCTTGGGGTTTTTGGGTGGCTTTTTTCAGGTTGCGGGCCTAAAAATGCGCTGCGTGCCTTGGCGGCAGCGGGCGTCCCTGAGGGGGGGTGGCAGGGGCTGCCAGCCCATCCCCAGGCAAGGGTGAGAGTAGCGCTGAGGTGTTTGCCCTATGTGCCTGATGGCCCCGCTTCCCGCCCCGTTCCATCCCCTTCCTCGGGGCTCCGGGCAGCTGCTTTCACTCGAGGCAGACGTTGGCTGCCGTGTCCCTGGGACTGGGCCGATGCTGTATGGGGGAAGGCGGGCGGGCAGTGCCCGGAGAGGAGAGGCCGAGTGTGGGGCTCAGCCACGTTCCCCAGACACCCGCCAGGCCCCGGGGCAGCCCGCTGCCACCCCCCGCCCCACAGGCCTCTCACACCCCGTGCCCCCCACACCAGCCCCGTCAGAAAGGCTGGGTTTGTTTCGATGGCCCAGCAGCGGAGTGACAGCAGTTTTCCAGGCGCTGCCGCTTTGTAAACGATACGTTGACCTTTTTCAACTGGAAATTGCTCTGAACATGTCAAGGAGGCGAAGCCTTGTTCTCCTGTTACTTTATTACAAGCGGTCCCCGTACCACACTTGGGAAGGCGTATGCTTGGGCTGTGCTGCCTTCCAGCTCGCCTTAGTTCTCGGCACACACGCGAAGTATTAAGAGGAGTGACTGCCTCTCTGCTGTTGGAATGGCTGAAAATAGATCGTTCCCCCCCCCCGAGCTCCAGACATCAAACCTGTCTTTCTTAGTGCCTGACGTATGCTAAAGCAGGACCTTTGTGGTTGTTTCTCTCTCCTTACCTGGGAGTTCGCCACGGTGCGTGGATCGACGTTACTCAGCATCATTCGTGAGGGTGATGATGTAAGCGTTAACGCGATAACATTGTGTCCGAGGAGAGTTTAGGCACTTCGACCTGACTCAGTGTTCAGATTAGATCTCCCCACATTCCTTGTCACAATCAAGAAAGCCATTATCTTATTTTTCCAGTGTGTATAATGAAATGCTTTGCACTTGTCTTATGGGAAGAAAAAAAAAAAGGCTTTTGCTTAATAATGTGCGTCCCAGAAAAATCCGCTTTCTGAAATCAGGGAACAGGCCTGTGTGGGGTTTTTTTGTTTTCTCTTTTATTTTTTTTTTTTACTAGTTGTTACTATTATTATGAAATAGCTGGAGGCAGCTGTTTGAAAGTGCTAAATGAAACAACTCCAAAGAAAATATTGAAAGATTTTTCATCTTTTAAATGCAGAGAGGTTGTCCTTGTTTCTGAAATACTGCTAAAGATTGTTAACCTCCTCTTTGCTGGAGAACGCCCCGCAGGGCCCTTGCTCCACGTTGCATGTTGTGTTACCTCTCAGGTAACTCCACACACGTGTCTTTGACAAGGGGGAGGTCTGACAAAGTCCCCCTCGTTTTTGCACGCTAGCGTTGGTAATCCTGCCGACAAGGTACGTGACTTCACTGAGCATGAAGTTTGGGGCCCTGAACCACGTTTTGACACTGAAGAAGTGCTGGCTCATGAAGCGGTATTGTTGTAATGGTATCACTGCACATCGCTGATCCTCCCACTCTGTGCTTGACACAGACATTCCTCATTTGCTGCTCTGGTAGGACTGCCTAATTAAGGAACAGAGAAAGGCATCGGTTCAAAGTCACGTCTCTGTGTAACGGAGGCACATGTTCCACTTACCAAGAGCTCCTTAGGACGTTGCTGCAAATATTGAAAAGGAAAAGCAAACTGCAGGGTGTCTGAGTGGGATGAATTCAAGCGGATGAGGGTGATACACCAGGTAGCACAGCATTGTGCTCCTGTTCTTGAAAATTCCCTAATCCCAGGGATGGGCCAGGAAATAATGGGGGTCTTGCCTCCACTCTGGGCATAGCTGGAGGAGGAATGTGCTCTACCAGTTATTCCAAGGGTACTTGAAAGAGGAAGTTAGAAGCAGACTAAGCCTGTTGTCCATTACAAATGGACGGGGAAGAGAACTATCTCTAAGGTAGCAGCATTCATCCTCTATGGGGTGTTTCCTGAGAGGAAATCCAGTGGAAGCCTTCTTGCACCCATGGTTATTCCTCTAATTCCAGACTTTTTGCTTGGAGCAGATGGCAGATCTGAGGCACGCAGGGTCCTGGAACAAGGTGGACCTCTGAGCTTCTTTTGTGGCAGGTACAAGACAGGAGCGTTTGTGCAAGTCTTACACTGAGCATTTGAGATTGGCCACATCTCTGGCTCCACTGGGGGACTGTAAAGCTCCACCTGCCTTGCTGTAGGTCCACCCGTTAAAAACTCCACACGGATAAGCGCAAAGCTAGTCAGAACTCTTTTTGGGGAGCTGCGGCTATCAGGACGCTCTTTGTTCTGTAAAACAAGATTGCCCCTGCGCTTCCTCTCTTGAAAATAGCTGGGTTGTTTCCTTGGCTTTGCAGGTCCCGGTGCTCTTGTTACAAGCGCGCCTGCCATGTTTAGTGGCATTGGATGGGTCGTTTACACAGTTGGACTCAAGAGTAAATATTTGACACTCGATAACATTTGAAACGACGTTCACTTGAACATATCAAAGAGCTTGAAGTGATTATCTGACATTGTTGGTGCTATTATTTGATGATTATCTTTTCCCAGTGGACATTTTAAAATGGGCAGAAGGGAGTGTTTTTAGGGGGATTTGGTTTGGGCTTAATTTGGCAGTGTTACTTTGATTTTTGAGAAACCATCTTTGGCAGCAGTATTTTCTACTTGGAGAGTGGAGAGCAGATTTTTTTAGCTGGACCAATGGATGTGGGTACATGTCAAGGAGAAATTTATTCTTCAGGACATGGCTAGGAAAGCTTTTGTACTTTCTGCCTCCCTGCATTTCCCAAGAGCTGACATTTGTTTATTTATATGGTGGTGTTACTTTTCATGGTGCAGAGTGGAACAGATAAAATATTCTGTCTTTCTTTTATACATACATCTATACCTATGTATATGCCCTCCAGCACTTAGCTGTTTATATTATTTATGTTATATATAAACAGTTAGCTCTGGAGGGCATTCCTCAATGGCTTAAGCATTGAACTGGTAATACCAAAGTTCTTGCACTGCAGTTTCAAATCTCCGGCGGCCAATTTGTTCCTTCGTTCTTCTGACATCGGCTTGAGCACTGTTCATTTTGCTCTTTGCAAGCCCAGAACTTGGGCCTGTTTCACAGGCATTATGGGATTATTCTTGTCAGGTTCTGTCATTGCAGCCGTCACACCGGTGGGCTCAGTGTGTTAAGCGACGGTTGCCATCAGTCACAGGTGACTTGTTCTACTTTCACTCATCTCAAAGTTGCGCTTAATTTATCATTATAAGGATTAATTAAATATATTAATTAAATATATCAATATTTTCTATACTCAGAAGAGTGACACTGAAAGTGGCCTGCTCCCCAGATGTAGTCTGCAAGGTGAAAAAGAAAACAGTCCCCATAAAGATAATGTAGCCAAGGAAGAGGAGAATGGGCTAATTCCTCCTGCTCCCATAAATCTCATCAATGGCAGTACAAATCTGGAAGAGTCAGTGGATTTGTCCCGGTTCCCTGAGGACCTCAATGGAAGACAGGGTTGCCTGACTGGTGCCAAAGGCCAAGTTTGGCACGTAAAACCTCAATTTAGGCAGTTATTTTATGCGGAGATCCTTTAAATGATCATGGAAGTCCTGACTTTGTTTCCTAACTTTTTTTTTTTATGATGCAGCGTGCTTGCTCCCCTGGGCATTAAAGATCCTCAAATATTTTAAAAGGAAGGATTGTGCTCTGGTATCTTTGGCCCAAGTGTGCACTTCCCCCATCTCCCCAGCTCTTTGGTAGCTGGCTCCCAGGGAATCCTGCAGTTGCATGTTCTGGTTCTGGACATAGGTAACTTGGGGAAGTGCTGTGAAGCAAACAGTGAC